CTGTGGGGTGAGACCATGACAGATTTTTCCCATCCTGCTCCAACCTGCTGAGCTGAGAGCAGCTGGAGGAGAGGGACAGGTCTCCAGCTCTGAACGTGCCTCTGACAGGGCAGCCTCTGATCCTCCCTGCTAAGGTGATTATGAAAAGTTTCACAAAATGGAACAGGCTTTTAGAGATAAGGACAAGAGGGAAAACCTCATGAATTGTGTGTGTTGTACCACACTCAGTCATAAAGGGGTTTATGTAGAAAGAAGGATGAGAGAGAGGGGGGAGCAAAGGGAAAGAGCTGTGTGTGCTAGGAAATTGTCTTTCAAACCATGCTATCCATTCACAAAAAGCATGTTTTTCCAGGTCTTAATTATTAATTCCATAATAATGTATATAAATATATTCAATATACCTGTGGTCTTTAATTTTCCTAATGAAGATGTTTACTTTGCACAAAAGACATTATTATAGCAGTAGTGTAACACAGTAAATTAAAGCTATTTTCATATCTTAGTTACATGTTCACTGCTCATTCCCAATACAATTAAAGCAGAAATTAATGAAGTCCAAAAGGAGCAAACTTGCCATTTTTTTCACTGCTGCATTCTAAGCAATAAAATATTAAAAGAGAACAAAATCAAATCTTCAGAAAGGGAASAGCATTTTTTCAGGTTTATCCCACAGCATCACTGCTTGAGTAGATTTTGATTCAGACCTATTTGCTCATCTCTAATTCATAACTTCAGTCATTTGTTCCTCTGATTGTCTGATATCATTGTGGTGGTTTTAATSAGCTGTTTCACAGAGATAAGTCACTTCACTGCCCTTAAGACTGCACATCCCATTGTATTTGTCAAACCCACACTTWAAAAATCAAGGGACCAATTGTCAGAGCAGCAGAAAGAAGTAACTGAGTCTTTGCAGGAATACATTTTTTAGTTAAATTCTCCTGTGTCTAAAAAGGCACAAATTCTGATCCAAGTTTCTCCTTCATTTTATGGTTTGTGTAAAGTTATTTCCCCTGTATTTGTTTCCTGATGCCCTTGTTTCAAACTTAGTCCATTCCAGACACATCTGKATTCTACTGACCTCTATGCACATGTAGTATTTGCCAGCCTGAATGTATTTGACACCAATTACCTGAACAAAGCAACAGACACAGCAGGTGTAGAATAAATTCTAGATGACCACAGTTGCCACAGTACTTCCCCATACCAGGTGTAAATCCCAAACACATTTGGAGTTGATCATGCCAGCAGCTAGTTGTGAGCTTCAAACGCCAAACTTTGGATGGTAATAAAGTAATTACCAATGGTGGCTTCTGTTCTCCAAAAAATGCAGCCTTGGAAACATCTGAAGTGCTCTGTGCTCTGTCAGAGGTGGACACAAAGTRAAAACATCCAAATTAGCTGTGATTTTTTATGAACCCTGAGTACAGAGGTTAATAGGGTATGAAATTACCATTTTTTTTTTGGAGTGGTTTATCAAAACAGAAAAAAGGCCCACTGTGGAAGTGAAGAAATAATAATTTATAACAAGTGGAGTAAACAGTTTATAATGATGCAGTGTTCCATCTCAGCGTGCACTGAACACGATGAGACAGTTTGTTATGGGTTTGTTGTGACTCAAGTGAGCAGAAACACATTGAAATTGAGACAAATGGGAAAAAAATTTGGACAAGCATTCTGTTGGCTAAGTGTACGTAGCACAGGTGGTGTCAACGTGATGCCTTCCCCTCTCCCTCCCACCCCAACAGTTGTACTGACAGACATCAYTGGCAAAAATGAGCACATTCCTGGGGTTTGTTTTTCTACTCATTGTTGGCTTGTAAACTGCATCTGTCCTCATTTTACATATGATGTCAGCTGATGCTGGWCTAACAGGTACATGTGTAAAACAGAATAATATGTGCAGTAAAAGTTTTGCAGTGATCTCTGGTCCATCTGCTGTCAAAATTTSCCTGGCACAGCTGCTGGGCCTGCATGCATTCATGCTGAACTGCTTTTGAAACTAGCCAGTGTGTTTTGAGAATKGCATTAACACAGCATCAGCTGGGAGAAAAGATTGGACTTTTACTGATTCAGTATCTGATCTCTGACTGATGATCATGTTGAAAGGATAATTTGAATGTGTCAGGCAAAGTGCATCATATGATGTTTCAGTGAAATCCRCAGCACCAGCTGCTCTAATTACAGAGAATATATATTTCCAGTCTCAAAATGCCTTCTGCATTTACTCCAGGTTTTATAGAAACGTTGTAGGTTGTGGAAGAACTTTATGAAAAGAAAAAGGAAATATTTCATATAGGATGTTAATACTGATAGTATTTTCAGAAAATACATTGATAAATACCTTTTTAAAAAATAATATACTTAAAATTTTGATTTTGATAAAATCTTCTGAAAACCTACTGTAGATACACTTCCCTATGGCCTCACAGTGACAACTCTGTATCTTTTTCACTACCAGAGTGCGGCACTTGATAAAAGGTCATAAAAAGTGACCAAGACAAGATGATCTATCCTACCTCTGACACAGACCAGCAGCAGATGCAGAGGAAAGAGGCAAGCATCAGATAGTGCATGTCTTGAACATCTTCCAGAACTTCGATTTGTACTTTAAAGTTCTGACCTCCTAAATATTCCACAGCTTCTCTGCATGCCATGTGCTCAGCCATTCCTTCCTGCACTACAAACACTTAGATGTTCTCACACGTGCTCATCCTCAGTCCCAGTCAGCCCATCCACATTGCCTGCATAAGCTAGCAGRATACACAGAAACATCAGAACAGGATTTCACAGTGTGAGGGTGTGGCAGAAAGGCATCTGTCACCCCTAAAAGAGAAATCAATCTGTGGAGGTGCCAAAAATTTTTGATTCAGCTGAGGTCCCTGGGGATGGAGGACTTTATCCACAGTTCCACCTCACTCAGTTTCCTGGTTTGAATTTTGATTTAAACCTTCTGGGTTTGATCCCTGCTGACACTGGCTCTGTGATCTCTCAGTCCTGGGGTCCCTCATGGTGCATTTTATGCTATTGGAGTTGAATATCTGGGGTTACCCCCATAATAGTCACACACCTTTAAAAGCATGGATTCCTAAGGGGAAATCTGTCCATTTTGATGGACAAAATGTTGTGCAGTGTGAAGGGCATGGAAAAAATCTTTATTATGGCACCCCAGCATTACATTAATCTGCTGATAACCTGCTTCCTCTTTCAGCTGTGTCCAAAATAACAGGATGTGCAAATGGTACAGAGGACAATCAAGATTATATGTTTCTGCTGATATACTGTTGGTCGAGTAATCATCAGCCTGCATTTTCCCACCAGCCACTGCAAGACCACTGGCAAAATAATCTAATTCTTTTCACCTCTGTCTCTTAATCTATAAAATAGGAAAAATTTATATTTGCTTTACTTCATTAAGTATTTTTGGACCTACAGATAGAAAGTATGTGATCACAACACAGATGTGAAAAGGCAAACAGAAAAACATTACTGGAAGACTTAACTGAGTGGCCTCAAACATCTGGAATTGTTTGAGTCTGATTTCCAGCTCTGATTCAGGTGATACCCTCTTTTTGACACCACCTGTTATTTCAAATCTACTTAAAACCCTGGTTTTGCAAGCATCCTCCCATGTACCTGTGCTAAACACTACAATCTGTTTTGAAATCCAAGATGACGTTCCTCAGTTGTGCAATATTTTATTTTGTTGAATCCTTTCTGAGCAAAGAGCAAAACCAAGTGCCCTAAATGCTGAAAAGTAAGGSATTTAAAGACAATTTTGCTCTTCAAACTTTTAGCACAAGTGTAAGGGGAAATGATGGGCTGAGGGACTGTGCTGGGGAGTTAACAAGGGCACTTGCACAGAGCCTTACAGAAAGTTTTGCTGTTGTTCCTCTCACTGAGGCATTTAGATTGCCAGCAAGATGGGAAAACACGGTCTCCAGCAGCAGCTGGGGTACTGAACTGGTAGGGCTTCATCTGTGCTGCTCAAAACACTTATTTCCACCAGTCTTTGATTTGTCTATGTTTTTAAGAACCTGGCTGACCATGGAGGAGTTTAACCAGAGAGAATCTGCACTGAGGAAACAGTGGTAGGTTGGTGACATTGTGTGTGTTATGTGCATGTACTCATGCACATGTGTGTGACTGATCTTAGGAAGCAATTTGTGCTGTGATCATTTTATTGTTGCTCTGCTGCCATTCCAAAAAGAGCTGAAAGGGCTCGGGGGTGATGACAGCTGTAGAAATAGAGGTTTGGAAGAGAATTTTCTGTGAAGCAAAAAATCCCTACATTCTTTCCTTCTGTTTTCAAAAGCTGGGATGCGTTTCTTCCCGTAAAGCCCAGAAGTGATTATTACAGCTCCTTGCAAAGCAGAAGACAAGTGTAAATCGCTGTTATTTTCACAAGGACGTGGACACGGGGGCAGTCAGAATTTTAAAAATCAGTGTAATTTTACKGCCAGTCATCTCTCCTTTGTTTGCCAGCGTGGATCGATATGATCAATACTGTCATGATAGCTATCTGAAAGCAGAGATGGAGAGCAGCGTGAAGCAGAAAAACTCCACAGATCGCTGTCACCTCCTGCTGCCGTCTCCACCCTCGGTGCTGGCTCCTCCCGGTGCYGCTGGGCTGGATGCGCTCAGCTCTGGATGCTCCGCAGCTGGAGGGCTCTGCTTTCCCTGCCGCACGCAGGAAACTCCCGCTCCACGGCTGCATTTCCATCAATGCCTCAGAGCAGCTGTGGGGAAACTGCCTTTGAGCCTGTGCGAGTGAGCGGAGCCTCGGGGATTAACCCGTCTGATAGCTGAATTGACAGAGACGGAAAGTGCCGGTGCTTTGGGGAGCGGAGGACAGGAATGGGAATGGGACTGTGACTGCGTGGGGAATGCGCTCCGGGGCTGCAGCTCAGCCGCGCTCTGCTCCACGGGCGCTTTTGCGAGGGACCATGGAGAACACGTGCTGAGACCGAGTGCTGGGCAGAGGCAGCCGTGGGCTGGTGAAGATGGAGAATGGCACAGGAGACGAGCASAACCACACTGGGCTGCCACTGGCAAGCCAGGAGATCATTACAGCTGAGTACCAAGTGGTCACCATCCTCTTGGTGCTCCTCATCTGCGGGCTGGGCATCGTGGGCAACATCATGGTGGTTTTGGTGGTCCTCAGAACCAAGCACATGAGAACTCCCACCAACTGCTATCTGGTGAGCCTGGCCGTGGCAGATCTCATGGTGCTGGTGGCTGCAGGGCTGCCCAATATCACAGAGAGCCTGTACAGATCGTGGGTGTACGGCTACGCCGGCTGTCTGTGCATCACCTATCTCCAGTACCTGGGCATCAACGCCTCTTCYTTCTCCATCGCTGCCTTCACCGTTGAGAGGTACATAGCCATCTGCCACCCAATCAAAGCTCAACTCCTATGCACTTTTTCAAGAGCCAAAAAGATCATTATTTTCGTTTGGGCTTTCACCTCCATATACTGTATGCTCTGGTTTTTCTTGCTAGACCTTAACACAGTAGCCTACAAAGAGACAACTGTCGTGTCCTGTGGCTACAAGGTGTCCCGCAGTTATTACTCTCCTATCTACATGATGGACTTTGGTATATTTTATGTTGTGCCCATGGTGTTGGCRACTGTCCTCTATGGCCTGATTGCCAGAATACTGTTCCTGAACCCCATCCCTTCGGACCCAAAAGAGAACTCTAAGACCTGGAGGAATGATGTGGCTCACCAAAGCAARGCTGTGAATTCCAAGATGACTAACAGGAGTTTCAACAGCACTGTTGCTTCTCGGAGGCAGGTAGGAACAGCTATTTGAAATAGTTTTCTGAAACCTAAACCACTTGTTTTAGAGCTCACTTGTCTGAAGCTGAGAAAAGAGGTAAAATATATTCTTTCTTTTTGCCAAGCAGTCAAGTTTAAATCTTTGATACACATACACACATAAATAGGAGTTTTTTTCTTGCCGATACATTATTACCCTACTGCAAGGACAAAAAAAAAGAAACAGTATTTTATTTCCTATATCAAACAGCACTTAGGAAGTGTCAATTATGAATGAAACATTTTTAATTATATTCTCTTTATATTACATCTTGTTAGTAATCTTGCCAAATATGCAGAGTGACTCTTGACTTATTTTTGAGATCTGAAGAGAAGGAACTAGCCTGAGAATTTGGGAGACTAGAGGTTGGRTCCCAGGTAAGGCACTATGTCACTCAGCAAATGGGGTCAAGTTGTTAATCATCTGTCTCTAACACTCGTGTGAAAAGYCTGTTTAAGGCAGTGTGTATATAAATTGCTTTGTAAATGCTAAATATCTTTGTTACTCTGTCTCTCATAATATATTTTTATGTATTGACTCAACACTGAGGAGCAGGTTTGACTAAGTTCTGTTTGTATTGTTGAATATTTATSCTGTCCTGTGTAATAACACCAGTAGAATACAGCTGGTAGATTAATTGCTGCCCATTTGCAGTAAACCAYACTGTGTGCACCCTTTGCAGCTGGCTCTGGGAATATTCTTCTTATTCTTGATCTTCTTCTTCTTCTTCTTATTTTGCATCAATTGCTACTGTTTAATGAGAGGGACCATATTTTCTTATATAGAGATTTCACAGAGCTCAAAAGTTAACTGAGCTGCCTTCTAGAGCAGTAGAGCTGTGCTTGGAAATGCACAACAGAAATAGGTGGGCTAGGGTATATTTAATTATGTTGMCAATTATAGTTAATAGTCAGATAGCAAGCCTTTAATGTAGTTTTTCTTTACCCGTTGATTAGTAGAAGAAGATAACCTGCTCTTCAAATTCTTAGTATCACTTTATGCTTGATTACATGTGCTTAGTATCAGTTGAAAAACAGATAAATCTTTTACATTSAACACAGATCAACATGGACACTGTTACATTATGAAATCAAAAAGTGAAAATTATAACGTGATATCTTTTATGTCTTGTTAAGGCAGCAAGACTTTTTCTAAAAGCCTCAGTAACCTGATTGATTAAAGCAGCCTCGTTATAAGTAAAGCTAGAGTAATTTGCATATAGCACAACACAGGAAGCAAAGCATGATAGTGTGGCATTATTAGCAGTAATTTTTGGTATAATAGCTGTGTGTAAAAAATAGGCAGTGGTGTAAAATGAGGAAAAACAAGTCCATGTTCAAAAAAATCTTGAATCTCAACAGTTAGTAAGACACATAAGTGAAAATTTCCTGCCATACTGACAAGCACATGTATCGCTGACAATTCACTCTGGCCTGACAGTGAGTCCTGCTAAAATGTGAAACTGTGCTTCTTTTCAGAACTGTGCTTGCATTAGAGGGGTTGAGTAGTGTACAATATCCGGCATGTGATCTACAGAAAAAGTGACTGAAAATGGGGTGAACGCTTCCTCCTTCTGTAGCAGTTCTCATATCTATCCAAGAACATTTCTATAAAATTAAATTTATGCATGTTTCTGTAGGGGGGTCGGCTCCTGTTGAGAATGGGGGAGAAAATGGGAAGTGCTCCTATCCTACATGATCCAAGATAAGGACAGGCAGAAAAACTATCAATTATTGTCATGGACAGTGCAGACTCAGCTTGGGGRAAATTAAGATTGCCAATTTATTGCCCATTGTTATAGCCACAAGTTACACTCAGTYCCTTCCCTGCAGCAGCCAGCAGTGTGGGGCCAGAGAGTGCTGCATGGCAGAGGTTGGTCTTTTGTTACTCCTTTCTTCTCACCTTTTTCCTCTGTTTCAGTGTGGGTCCTCCATGRGCTGCAGCCCACAAATTMCAGACTTTTTTCTTGTCCATTCATAATATGAAGTACTGAATTACATATTTGCATGTAGGTTTTCATACTTTCCCCAAASGAATTCCTAATTTCCTCAGATATCAAGGGCACTGATAAAAATAAATACAGCCTTACATGGCAAACGTGCTGGTTTATGGAGAGATGGAATCCAGCTCACTGGTCTGAAGGAAGACATCTAATGCAGTTGGGAAAAGGGTMTTTTAGACCCTTTTTTCCCCATTTGAATCAACACCCCCTTTCAGCATGAGAAGTTAACAAGTCTAAGGTCTACAACAGTGAGCTTACTGGAATATCACCTCTAAAGAGTCATTTGACAAAAACTAGGAAGGATTTGGAGCCAAGGTTTTTTGTACTTCCTGCTGTAGAAAACCTTTCTGAATCAAATATTCATCAGAAATTCTTGCTGAAGGATCTATCCACAGTTTCATTTTGGCCCTAGATGAGTAAGAACACATTCCAAGGGGGGTACTAACCTTCTGCCCTCTCTTTCTGCCTCTGTGCTCCTTCAGGTTACCAAGATGCTGGCCGTGGTTGTGATCCTGTTTGCATTCCTGTGGATGCCCTACCGCACCCTGGTTGTGGTCAATTCCTTTCTCTCCAGACCCTTCCAAGAAAACTGGTTCCTGCTATTTTGCAGAATCTGTATTTATTTAAATAGTGCCATCAATCCTGTGATTTATAATCTCATGTCCCAGAAATTCAGAGCAGCCTTCAGGAAACTCTGCAACTACCAGCAKAAACAGGAGAAGAAACCTGCCAGTTACAGCATGGCCCTAAATTATAATGTCATCAAGGATTCCGACCACTGCAGCACCGAGCTGGAAGATATCACCCACACCTACCTGTCCTCTGCAAAACTGTCCATTGGTGACACGTGTTTGTCATCCAAGGTAGCAGTTCATACATTTCAGTGTTTGCTGTGGAGTCCTGCAGAGCCAGAGCATGTTCTGGGCATGGGGCTGGGCTGGGGGAGCTTTCACCCAGGGCAGCACTCAGAGGGCTGGGAAAGGCTGACAATGACAGGCCAAAATGACACCAAACAGGGCCTGGCAGGGAGGGAGAGTGATTCCTTCAAAGTGCCTTGTGCCAGGCATGGTGGGACTTGGAGGATCTGCAGCATGGGAAGGATGAGGAGAAACAAGCAGATGAAGCATTATTTTGTAAGGAACAGAGGGCTCTAGTGGAGCATCAGAAAGTGGTGCTGGAGCATGGTGCCTCACTTACACACCTGGCAGGAGGGTGGGGTGGTGTTTGAGCTCAGAGATTGCTCTGTCAGCTCTGGCTGGCTGCAGGGAGGGCAATGGGGCATTTCCTTGAGCTCAGAGATTCCTCTGTCAGCTCTGGCTGGCTGCAGAGAGGGCAATGGGGCATTTCCTCGTACCCTCCCCCTGGCTCCAGCTGGGGGTTAGCCAGCCCGGTGCAACACACAGATGGTGCTCTCCCACTCTGGCTCTGAGCTGCTGAAAGCCCCCTGCATTTCTGTGCCCCCTGCATTTCTGTGCCCCCTGCAAGCATCCCCATGTGCAGCACCTCTCTAACCCAGCTCTCTTGGTGATGCACATTTCTGTTTTCATGATGCTTTTTTTTGCACAATGCTACCTAAACACTGTTTGTAAACCCATTCATTTTAGATCTTAAAAATAAAGACGATCTACAGAGAGGCTTAGTTTTAATTTGCTTTTGCAGATTATATGAGAATGTAAAATATTTTTTTTCTCAGTTTGTTTCTTGTCTCCTCACTTTCAGGCCTGAGGCCCATCTTGCTCTGACTACGCAGCCACATGAGATGTTTGGATGCTCTGTGCCACCAACTTGAATGAATTGTAGAGTCATTTCTGCTCACATGATTGCAGAAGATGCTATAAATATTTACATACCTGCCTCTGCCCTGCAAGAAAACACAGCAACTTGGGAAATGAAGAGAGTGTATTCTTGAGGCTTCAATAGAATACCTAAATCCTTCTTCCCATTAACTGGCCGAAGAGTGGTCTGTGATCCCAGAACAAGCAAGGCTTGTCAGGGTATGTCCATAGACACAGACTGGGGCAGTGGATGATACTCCCAGTGAAGGTGATGGATGAGGTGAGGAGCTGCTGTGATGTGTGGCTGCATTGGGCAGTACCCGGGTGACCTGTCTGACAGCTGATAGCAGAAATTACCTGCCATTGACTCCCCCGTCCCACATCAGGGCAAATCTCACTGCAGCCATCATAGCATGCCTCAATAAATGGATATCTGACAGCAAAGAGCACAAAATCTTTCTTTTCTTTGTTTTATTTTTACCTTGAGCAGTGTGAAATAGGGAGATCATTCAATGAATTTACAGCAGGGAACAAACAAATTAAAAAGTCAATAGAAAGCTTTTAAAATACCTTTTATTTTTTCAGCAATCAGGTTTATAGATGTACCACTCTAAATGTAAGTCTCAGCTGTTACTGAATCCTGTTGGAATTTGACATGTATCGAAGAGCATGGAACAGGCTTTACCAGCTCCCTTTGTCTTGGTTCAATACCAATTGTGTCGAAGAGCACTAGAGGGGGTTCATAGCTTTAATATCGATAATGTCTGGGGAAAACAGGAAAATTATGGGAAAAAATGACACTTTTAAATTGTTTTTGTCTCAAAGTTTATCTGTTAGACTACTTAGGACATAAAGTGTTGTCAGAAGAGAAGTCATCATGGTTTTTCACCTGCCAACATAGCCACTTTCATGCTCTTCCCACACAGGCCCATGATAAGAAGTCTGGGGCCATAATCTCCCTGTTTTAACTGCAGACAAAACATCGTGTATTGCTTTGGCTTTACTCTAGACCAGCTCTTGTTCTTGCTAGAAGTTTATTTACTCTCTTCTGTGCAGCAGAAGTTCAGGAAAATGCCTGTGTATTCCTGTTTGTTATGAATATTTTGCACAGCTTTTGTACATGACATTTAAAAACCTGTAAAAATCCTAACTCACAGAATCACARAATAGGCTGAGTTGGGAGGAATCCACAAGAACCATCGAGTCCAACTCCCAGCCCTGCACARCCCYATCCCCARRAGTCACAAAYCTGCCCAGTGTGGRGTGAAAGAGGCAGCCTTTCAAACCATTTTCACTATTATTCAGCTAGTTTTTGCAAACTTAAAGAGAACTAACTAAACTTATGTTTAAAAACTTAAAGAGAACTAAAAATATTCTAGGCCTCAAATTTGTATGTTCAAACCATGAGCCTGTGTCTCTGCATGCAAAGGACTCTATTGGGTATTGTCTGCATGGCAAGGAGGAAGCAAACAGATTGTCCAAAGGGGGTGTGGATCTCCCTCCCTGGGCATATTCCAGAGCCATCTGGACTCAGTCCTGTGCCATGTGCCCTGGGATGACCCTGCTTGGGCAGRGGGGTTGGACCAGAGGACTCACTGTGGTCCCTTCCAACTTACCCACTCTGTGATTCTGTGATTTTGTGAACAGTCTGTGTCCTGCTCCATCTGCATCCTTGCTTTGACTCCTGTCCTGTCTTTGCAGAGCTCCACAGGCACTTTCCAGTTTGGCAGAGTGATGGCAGAGCATGGAAGGGACCAACAGCAAGGAGGTTTTAACCAGCAGTGTAGGTGTGACAGAATTTCAGAAGCTGGCAGAGCTTTGACTGGAGCAGAGCCAGCAGCAGAACCCATGCAGGCCATGTCCCAATCTTTCCCAAATCCTCTGCATTTCCCAGCTTGCCAGGCTGTCTGTCTGAGCAGCACGGGCCACCAGGCAGGGACATGCTACAGGTCTATTTCTGTGCAGATGCTCCATCTCTGCAGAGTCTGAACACCCACAGGACTGGAAGGGGCATGTCCAGACTGCTTTTGAAATAATGAGGAGGAACTAAAATGGCAGAGTCAGGTGTCAGCCAAGTAAGCAAAGCAGGCTGGGTTCAAGAGTCAGAGAGAGGGATACCAGTGTGTTCTCAAATTAATACCTAGCAATTTATCTCATAAATACAATTCTGGAGCTGTGACACATACTTTGAGCAAATCTTCCTTTTGTAGAAGTTTATGTGAAATTACGGAGTTCTGTGGCATTCTGCTGCTTACACTTGTTCAAATTTACAGTTTGCCATGATTAGGGTGAATCGGGGAGAGATACCACAACTTCTTTAACATTTCCTCCAAAGCACCAGTCACAGAGAAATTAAATTATCAATGAACCTGACACAGGAATTTGTGCTTGCTTAGCCAGGAGCCATTCAAAGTAAAAGAAAGTGTCTGTGTCTGACAGAGCAAAGTCTTTGAGGCCATGACCCAGCACTGCTTTCAGATGATGAGAGAGAATCCCTGGTCTGAGCTGGAGGTGAGGCAGCAGAGGTGGCCACTGTGGAGCTGTTGCCTGGAAATCCATTTGCTCTTCACCTGCTGTTTTCAGTCAGGCACCTACCCAGTGCTTTCAAAGCAGGCCTTACTTCCCAGAATTTCTCAAGAGGTGCTAGAACTTGTTGCTTTTCTCACTTAAAAAGCAAGACTAGCACTTAAAATGCAGGACTAGCAGCAGGCAAACGGTGCATTCCATGGAAACGTGTCTGGCTGGTGAGGAGCACAACTGGCTGGGTAAAACCTGAGCTCCATATTTACACAATAACAGTAAAACAAACTTACACTTTTATCTCAACGCTTTCAGAGCACAGACTGAATTACAGCTTTTATAAACTGACGGTTCCAGAAGTGAATTCTCTCCTTTATTCGCCTTCTTGCTCAAAAAATAACTATCTGCTTTCTCAGCCTCTGCTCCACCACGTGCTCAGGTGAGGTATTTAAGCCCATATTCTTTGTGGTGCTTCATCAAAGGCTAAAATCTGTGTAGGCGATTTTGTGTGCACCATCACTGGGTATAACAAAAATGAAAAGGAATTATTTCATTCTGGTATTTGTTTGTGCAAACAGAAATGATTATGATTGCAAAATTGTGTGCAAAAATACAATATTTAAAATTGCAGATTTAAGCTAAGGTGTGATTTTAACTGATAATGTGATGTGACTGTGTCTTTATAGATGTTGATTGTGAAATCCATGCTAATTTTATACTGATATAGAGCTAACACTATAAGACTGTCAGATATCATGCTAATGTGACTATTTCTGTGTTTGTCCTTCTGTTTAGAACAGCAATTCTTGTAACTAGATGTTGTAAATTATATATGTGAGCATGTATTTAAAAGAAAAAAAAAAAGATGTTTTAAATTTATTCATAATAAAATTGATTTTTTTTTGCTAGAAATGAAAGTGGCTGAATGCCAACTACTGATTGCAGTAATATAACTATCTGTGTATATTTATTTTGTGGATAGCAAACCCCTCTGCACCATTTAGTCTGAAAAAATTGTTTGATTGGTAGCAATATTGAAATTTATTGAAATCCCATATCTCTATTTAATGTCTTTGATGTAATAGACTGCTTTCTTAATGGATTTTTATTTAAAAGTTTATCCAGAATGTAACAGGGGAGGTGCTGCTTTCACATCTGTCCTATGGAGCTGTGCTCCTTCCTTTTGGAAATGCTGAGATTTCAGAAGTTTCAGTGAAGATAAATTGCACAGCTGAGAAAGATCAGAGGTATTTATAACCCACTTTGGTTCAAATTATCATCACATAACTTCCCTGAACTTAGAGTTAAGAATATACCAAAGAAGCTCCAATTTATGCTCCTGTGGAAATGAATGACACAAGTCAAACGATAACGCTCTCATTAACATCCCTCCAAAAGCAGTTATTAACAAAATGGGCTGAAGGACTGATTTTGCTCCAGGAGCTGCTACTTTATCTCCTCAGCTACACAGAAAGGTTTGGATCAGTCACTTTGGAAGCTGTCAATTTTTTCTTGATTTTTTTTTTTATAAAACTATTCTAAAAATAAATAAATAAATCCGATACACATGGGTCCGAGCATTGTCACCAT